AGAAATTGTTTGGCCTGTCTACCGATTGTCCAGGATTCACAGCCATATGTTAAAACTGGATGTGTGTAGCAAGCAAAAAATACTTTTATATCCCTCAACGACAAAGACATATTGCATAAGATGTTCTTCATTTTATAAAATGCAGTTTTTGCCTGTCCTATTCCGTTTCTTATCTCAATAATGCATCTTCATCTGATTATATCCATTTGCCAAGATACTTAAATTTCTTCACTTGTCCCAAAATAACACCATTGACTTTTATTACACATTTAGGAATAATTCTTTTCTTTGATACCACCATTATTTCTGTCTTTCCATTATTTAGACTGAGGCGCATTCTTTCTGACTTGTTGCTATCAAGACTGTGTCATAAGCATAACGTAAATTGTTTATACTGTGCCCACCAACCACAATTATGGGAATATGAATTTAAGATCTCATCATATATTCACTGTATATTAAAAACAAATCAGGTGACAGTACACACCCTTGTCGTACGCCCCTCTTTATGCTCTGAAATGTACCTAAACAGTTGTTAAGTCTTATAAAAGATCATGGACAGTTTGCCACATAGAGGATCATCTGAGTCAGAGTTAAATGAAAGTAAGGAGGCAGAAGGTTGTCGAGTGGATAGACACACTGCGTTGACTTTGGAAGAAGAAGTATAAGTGTGCCATAAAACCAAACGTCTGAACGGGTTTTCCGTCATTTGCATTGCAAATCTGCAGAAATAGAAGTAACCACAGTGTCTACGGATCACCAAACCAACTATAATCAACTTCCGATTGATGATCGTTACTCTTTTGCTTCCCATTCAGATTACTATCATGGTGGCGTCCGTTGTATTTGTGATTGGGGCAATCATCATGGGAGTGGCTCAAAGCAAAGAGATCTTGCTGGTCGGCAGAATTGTCGTTGGCATAGGAATAGGTAAGGCTTTTCTGTCGGGCTTTGTGTGTGCGAGATTGTTAATTGTAGAGCAAAGGTACGATCATCTTTGTTGGATCTGGTTGGGTTCCTGTCTCTCTCCATCCATACATCCAAGTCATCCAGGTATTTATCTCTAGCCTTTCCTTTGCACTCTCTCTCTCTCTCTCTCTCTCTCTCTCTCTCTCTCTCTCTCTCTCTCTCTCTCTCTCTTTCTCTCTCTCTCGCTCAGTCTTGTCAGTCTTCACTAAGCTCTTAAGTCCATTCCTCCCAAAATATATCCACACATACACACATATACACAAAAATACAAACAAACAATGATTGAATGTAAGTTTTCCAAGAGTTGAGGGTTTTCAACTGTTTTGAGAACTGTCTCGTTTATTTTTTCAACTCCATAATACGGTACTTTTGTGTTCTTCTCAAAAACTACATGTCTGCTGCTGCAAATGAATGTTTTCAAACTTTCCTGCTTTTTGCCCATGCCTCAAATGCATATAATAACACGACTTTAATAACAATGTAATACTTTTTTTTCTCTCTCTCACTGTTTCAAATGTAAGGAGGTACGATACCGAAGTAGGAGCAGTCCTAACAGACTTGTAAAAAGTCTATAAGATTCACAGTCATGTCTTCTGCATTATGAATGGACTCATGCGCTCCACACTGATAGAGGACATGGAACAATTAAGGGTATTCACACTCTGAAAGACAGGAGAGAATCAAAGCTCCTTACTCGGTTCTCTAGATATCACCACCAGAAAGAGCAGCCCATACGCAGCCGATTGTCAAAGCTCCAGAGGGATAGTGTGAAGAGGACCTGCTTTATCCAGATTGCCAACCCCAGGCTGGATGATCTTAAACTCCCTGTTACAGCACCAAATGTCATACTAAAACCATACACAACTACTTACCCTCCCCCTTGGTTATGGGATAACTTGACAATAGTCAGAACCACTGTAACAGGGATCTCCTAAAACTCTGCAATGAGCAGCTCTGCTTTGAAATCCATTGCAAAAGAGAAATCAACATACTTTACCCATACCAGAGTTGGATTAGATTACATTGTTTACATTGATGGATTAGACAGGAGAGCAGTCAGGAATAGAGAAGCAGGAATATACAAAAAATGCCAAAATGTCTTAGAAGCTAAATAGTCTACATTGATAGGTTCACATTTTCCCATCTACAGAAGACAGGCAGATGGACTTCTGGTGGCATGTTCTTTCTAGAACAGACACAGCCCATCAAATACGGCAGAGTGGTCTTTCTGACTGAAGTGGCTCTACGAGCAGTTGTTAACCCCAATGCACACAGTTTGTAGTCTTAACGCTGTAGCTAATTCGTGTAGGTTTTTCGTCTAGAACAGTCTATTCTGCAATGGATTTCAAGCCACTATGGCTTAGAAAGTTATGAAATGGCGGATACCCTGACAGTGGAATGGTATAGTTAGTTAGGGGACTTCATCCACCAGGAGACTAAGACATTAATACAAACTAGTATTCAAGACAGTGCTGGATACCCACAAAACACTTTCACCCCTAAGACACGTTGTATCGCCTCCCAAGAAACGGTCAGTGTATCATATTTAGACTAACCATAGGGCACAACTGACTTTACCAACAAATGTTCAAGTTTTTCGATATCGGAAACAGGAAGATGTGTCCCTGCAGCTTTGCTCCTGATAATGCTGAGCATGTACTCTCACGCCGAAGACTGAATGCTGCTAACAGAAAGGCCATATGGTCAGTTGCAACCTCAGTCGAAACAATGACACACAGGGAGATATAGACTGGACATTAGCTTTCATGAAGGCTTCTCTCCTCCTGATGTAAGGTTTTCCGAGAGAAGAGTCGAAGAAGACAGTATAACGTTTGCCTTTCAGACTGAAGGTTTTGAGTTCGAACCTGCATGGGGGTGGGGGAAAAAAGGGGGGGGGGGGGTAATTTGTATAATAGACTTGGGGCTTCCAGGACGACCCAGCATAATGTGAGTACCATGAAATGCCACAGGAAGCAAAAGCGATCGGCCAGATGTTGATTGCATCACCCATCGAATGCCGTTGATCAGTAACATTTATGTCTAGACCACGAACAAGATGGAATGATAACATCAGAGAAATTCTACAACAGTACCATGTATTTATAGTCGAGGCAGCCGGAAGAGCACGAAGCAGAACTTTACATCTCCCTCGACATCTGAACGGTCAAAGAGGAAGTAAAGAAGAATATAGTAAAGTTCCGTCAATGGTATTTTATAACCCTTTAACGTTTACGTTAAACTCTATAAACAGTCCGACCTCCAGAGGTCGCTTTCATGACATCCCTATGTATATGATTAAAGCAGTGAGTTATAGGAATTTAACACTATATGCACAATTCGCCAATGGCGTGAAAATTGTCCTTTACGTTTTACCTTCATATGTAATTCTCTCTCCAGGATTCGCATCCATGACAGTTCCAGTGTATGTGGCTGAGGCATCACCACCGGCCATACGCGGTCGCCTGGTGACCTTGAACCAGCTGTTTATAACCATCGGAATACTCATCTCCAGTATTATCGCAGGCGGCTTCAGTAGCATGAAGACAACTGGATGGAGGTAAGCTGGCCTTTCCCGATCCCACACCCGTCAGTCAATCTAGTGCCGTTTCAACAATGACAAATGACCGCAATGGATCTTCCAACTGATTCAAGAGTTGGTTGAACAGTTTCTGAGAATGCTGTTTGTCGATCTTGTGGTGTTGTCGTCTCACTTGTATCCCATTCTGTTTTTCTTGTTTGCCATTGACCGATTTCTCTAGTACGGTTTTTTCAGAGCTTTATGTCTTTTGAAGAAGCGTCTTTTTAAATTTCTGTCAGCTTACTGATCTGGATTTGTGAGAACAAAATGCCAAGGTCCATGTTGTTTGGAGGGAGCACATTAGGAAGGTAATGAGAATGAAAGAAGGTAGGTAGTTGTACTCCACTAGGACATCACACAAGCGATAAACACCCGGTGACACAAAGTGCCACCATGCGGATGAGGATCACCCGTGGAGAGGTCTCAGAAACCTCTTTAAGCCGTCAGGCCATATCTATAGCCTAGGCCATATTTATGTCCCGGCTATATTCAGGGTGGGGCTTTGAATAACAAACAATTGCGTCCCACACGGGGGACGAATTTTACGAGAATGAAGGAATAAACGAATGCAGAAAGGATAAGGGCTGAGCGTATGAGAAGAAACACATACTAAACACAAATGTTGACGAAAATGGTCCTGAAATCCCATGCCACCACTGTCGAAGACTTTTCTAAACACGAGCGGGTCTTGCTAGTCAGACTCGCCATCGCCATGGGCTGTAAGTCCCATTCCTCCTCATAGCGCGATATAACACTATAGTCTGGAAAGCAACCATTTACATTGTGCCTTATAGAATTTCTGTATTTGTTTTTATTTCCGTAAAATAGGATATATTCTTCTGTATATCCACATCTCAAACACAGTTCTCTGTTCCGTTGTTTATAGTCAGCACCAAGTGCTGGGCCAACTGACGTGGGCGACCATGCCTCGCCCAAGCTTCATGTCTCCAGTGACATGAATGAGTTCGCGTGAAGGTATCTTTCTATGCTATGATGAAATGTTGTCAAGATTAGTTTATATTCAATGACAATATGCAGTGCTACCTATTGAGTGTACGGCCACAAGCTCTTCATCCCCACAACGTTTAACAACAAAAGTGGAAATTGTTATTTATGATGATGATGATAATGATTATGATAATGATGATAATGACAGTGATAACAATGAACACTTCTTTGCATTGAAGACCTTCTATTAATGATGTTCCATGTGATAACATGCTCTTTTATCTCTGGACCCCGGCGGGCAGGTATATGCTAGGACTAGCAGGTGTGCCTGGAGTAATCCAGTTCATTGGCTTTATCTTTCTACCCGAGTCTCCCCGCTGGTTGGTGATGAAAGGAAGAGATGAACAGGCAGAGAAAGTGCTCCAAAGGATCAGGGGAAAGCTAGACGTCAAGAGTGAAATCAAGGAGATACGAGACGCCGTCGATGAGGACAAAAAGCAGGAAGGTACGTGTCCGCGTTTGTAATATCAATATTCCCTTTGTGCGCTCCGGAGCCCTATTGTGGGAAAAACAGGAACAGACCCACTGTCTCCCCAACAAGCATGTCGTAAGAGTCGACTGATTGGGTACTTCCTTTGAAGTCGGGGTGCATCTTCCTGAGAGGCAAGGAACCAATAGTCTGCATACTAATATGTCAGATCTGTTTAACAGGTTCTGGAACCAGACTACAGTCCAGAGGTGGACGAACAGTCAAAACTTTCCAACAAGGTTTACAGCCCTTGAACGCGAAAAACTTTACGAAAGAGAATCAATAATTTAATTAACATTGTTCATCCAAGCGTATTATCAGCTACCCAGGCACCCATCGACTGTTAAACGTTCTTCTTTTTCTTTACGTCCTCTTTTAGCGCTTCAGGTGTCGAGGGTCCTGCTTCGTGCTCTTCTGGCTGCTTCGACCATAGACACATGATGGTGCTGTAGAGTTTTTCTGATGTTAGCTTCCCATATTGTTCTTGGTGTACCTCTTGTTCTACGTCCTTCTCCTCTTTTAGTAAATGCCTTGTACGGTAAAGCATCAGAAGACATTCTTTCCAAGTAGACAAACTATTTAATTTGCCCTTCAAAAGTTTATATTGCAATTATCGTCTGTCATAAGCTTATACTGCTATAAAAGTCAAGAGATAACGTTATTATCATCAACTTCGAAAGGTTTATAATTAGTGCAGCTACTGGTCCTAGCTCGGCGTGTGTGGCTTGAGCGTCGCGAACCAGAGGCGGGCCTAGTGCGAACAGCATTGGGGTTTAGTCACTGAAGTCAGTCAGTCAGTCAGTCAGTCAGTCAGTCAGTCAGTCAGTCAGTCAGTCAGTCAGTCAGTAGCATGTCCTTTGCAGAACCTTGCTCCAGTAACAACCTTCCGGAAAACTTCTCGATCACAAGCAAGATGTCCCGCGTCCGATACACCCATCTGGAGATCATCCGCCATATCCTGCGCCCATCTTTGACCTTCCTCTTACTGTCTGCCCAGGCACATATACTGGCCCCTATTATAGCTCCCTCTAAACTTTCGTGACGTTTCAAGTTTCAAAATATTTCGATTTTCTGTTTTTTTTTTAATCGTCTGAATCACTGAAGGAGGTGACAAAATGGCAAAAAAAATCTGCTTTTGAAATAAAACAAATATTAAGACATCCACACATAACTATCAGTGCAAAGAGCATAAGCGGCATGTTGGCTTCAAAATTATGCTACCAGTGCCAAACACAGACACTGTCTAAAGCGTATGTGCACAAAATCACCACTTGTGAGATGAGATGCCTGAAAAAAGCCGCCGAACTAACCATCCGAGATCGAGTGAATAATAATACTATAAGACAAATTGTGGGAACGACACCTTTTATTAGATTCATCGAGAAACAGTAGATAAAGTGGTTTGGCCATCTCGTTAGTATGCAGCAAGATCAAATACCATCACAAGCATTACATCTCAGAAGATCAGCTACAAGAGCAAGAGGACGGCCGCGGAAAACGTGTATCGACAACATTAAAGACACTCTACGCCTTCACGGCATGACAATAGCCAGTGGCAGCCAACATGCACTGGATCGTAGATTAGTCCTCCCCATGACGCTTAACGGCAGAAGTGGTTTTTGATGATGATGATAGTGGAACCTAAACAAATGTGTGTTTGTGTGTGTGTGTGTGTGTGTGTGTTTGTGCGTGTTTTTGTGAGGGTGTGACATACAAATTTCCGCACTGGGTACCACCTGACCTTGCAACGCCACTGTTGCGAACGCGCTTCGTAGTGCCGGGATGCCAGGTTCGATCCCAGCTGCATGCGATTTAACAGCAGACCGCTTTGCGTTGGTGTCGACAGTGGTTACGAGAGCCGACCGGAAATTTGCTTAGAAAAAATTACACGACAGTAGCAACAACAACAACAACAACAACAACAACAACAAAAATACTAGTGTTGTTTCTGCAACGTCCTGTAAAAGACAAGCAACAAGCTATAACTGGTCCAAGAGGTAAAGTGTAAAGGTTAAAGTCGAGAGGATCGACTTCACTGCACCGGGTTTTATCCCATATGGCTCTGTCTCTCTCTCCGAGAACGCCACACAGAGCACGAACTCCGTAGATCTGGCGACGATCCCCATTATCACAATGGGCAGGTGAGTTGTTATGACGAAATTCTTGTGGACCCCATGCTCTTGTCCATTCTTCCGACTTGATCCCAACTTTTGATTTCTAGTTACTGTCAGTTGACATATTTTAGTACACACATTTCAGAGACTGGGAAAACTGGTTTTTTTTCTTCTTGTATTTTCCACTTTACATGCTTACTACCCCCATAGTTTCACCATTACTGTAGGCGGAAGGTCTAGAGTTCAAATCCATACTGTGACCGACTTTTCCCCCTTCAAAATTTATTTTGCCTGCCATGTTGATCCAGCCTAAAGTTGGTACCAGGAAATGGCCCGGGAAGTAAAGGCAGATGGCGCGATACTGACTTTATTATTCATTGAGTGCCGATTGTTTTATAAGAGTATAGATCGAGCACAATATGTCCGAAGCGCCAAAGGCATGCAACAGACTGCTTTAAAAAAGCTTCTTCCTCCAGACTATGCTGGGCATTGTTGGCCTTTCCCCTCCATTGTTGATTATCCTGCTGTCAATCATTTTTATATTCATATCTAATCCACATTGACACTCAACAAGTGGACAAGATAATAAAAGAGGAAGAACTTTGAATTAGATAAAGGTCTAACTTTAAAAGTGCTTTGGGCGTATAGACAAATACAATTACTGGTTATCATCATAATCATGTAGCAGGTCCTTTGCTGAACGTCGCTCTCATCACAGTCTACCTGAAAGAAACTCGGTCTCTCGCCAGCTCTTCCGCCTCATGTACTTTCATACTCAAGGAGTCTCTTATATCCTGTGCCCATCTTCGTGTCGATCGGCCCCTGCCCCTCCTTCCTGGTACCATGCCCTCTGCTATTTTTCTTTCAATCCGTCGTGGCGCTTATTACTGGTTATAGAATTTTTAAAAAGGAATCTTTTTTCCACGCCTACAGGTGACTGGGCATATAGGGCTAGATCTGAATTGATAGACTACTGGGTGATGTGGTCGACATCACGCCGGCCGTCTTTACTTCCAGGACTTTACCTAGCACCCATTTAAGGCTGGGGCGCCTGGGAACCAATGTCATTAATAAAAAATAAGTCCGGCTCCTTTCGGAATTGAACCCACAACCTTCAACAACAGAGGCCACTGCTTATTGCCTTCATAGATCTCACCAAGACCTTAGCTTGTGTTAGCAGCGATTGTCTGTTCAAGATCCTAGATAAATAAGGATGCCCGCCTATACTACTAAGCCTAATCAAATCCTTCCACGAGAAATGCAGGGAACCATAATGTATGAGAATTCACCGTCTTCATCCTTTCAGATGGGTAACGGAGTAAAGGATGCGTTCTGACTCCCACTGTTTGGCAGTTTCTTTACTGCATTGTTAAGAATTAATCAAGTAACAGAAAGTGTATTGATCGGCACTCATAGAAAGAAGTAGAAAGATAGAAGAACACACTAGACAACATAAAAATCGAAAGCTATAGTTACCGTGCCGGGAATTGAACCTGTCACCTCCAGACGGCGTCTGCCCCTCGCCATGAATACTGCATTGTTAAGGCGCGCATTCGGGACAGCCACTGAAGGAATATATTTCCGTACGAGGTCAGAGGGGACAATTTTTAATGTGTCTAGGCTACGTGCTAGGACGAAGGAGCACACTGAATGCCTCAGAGATTTTCTTTTTTTGCAGATGATGCAGCCATTGGGACAAACACAGAGGATGAACTGCGGATCCTCATGAATCGCTTGGCAAACATATGCAAAGAATTTGGGCTTACCATCAGTCTCAACACAAGGCAAATGATGAGAATGAATGTTGAAAACCCACCAAACAATAATGTTTATGACCATCAGCTGATAGTTGTGTATAAGTTTGAGTACCAAGGCTCACGAATCTCAGGCGATCATTCCCTAGATGCAGAGATAAGTAGATGTATAGGAAAGGCCTCTGCAATGTTTTCAAATCTCAATACGAGAGTCGGGTCAAACGAAACGCTGACTGATAATACCAAAGTGAAAGCTTATGAGTCTTGTGTCTTGAGCACATTATTGTACAGCAGCGAATCCTGGACTCAATATTTTCCTCAAGAAAAGAAGCGGAATACATTTCACATGCGAGAGTCACTGTGGTGTAGCGGCTAGACGCTCGCCTGCGGATCGGAAGGCCGTGGGTTCGGGTCCTGACAGAGCCAGAATTTTTTTTTCTTCAAAAAATGACCTTGGCTCCCGGGTCGACCCAGCCTTGAGTAGGTACCAAGTACCGTCTTGGGAAGTAAAGGCAGCCGGCGTGATGATGACCACATCACCCACCCAGTGGCGATTGGTCTATAAAATATAGGTCTAGCCCTAAATGCCCAACACGCCTGAACGCGTGGAAAAGGGTCCTTTACTTTTTACTTTTACCTCCCTCATGCGCTTTAGGAGACGCATTCTTGGTGTATCGTGGCGAGACCTTGTCTCCAACGAATGCGTACTCACAAGAGCAAAACTACTATCAATGTACTGTCTACTGAAGCAAAGTCATCTGCGCTGGTTGGGATATATCTCCCTCATATAGGATGGTCGCATTCCAAAGAACCTCGTGTGTATGGTGAACTGGAAAACGTGACCTGACAAATACCACCGCCTTCTCTAGATAAATAGAGAAGGCCGTGAGAAATACCAACATAGACACAGAGACTTAAGACAAATCAGCTGTTGATCGGCTGCTATGGCGACAGAAAGTGAAAGACAGATTGTCGCATTTTGAAAGAAGCCAAACGCAGCGAGCTATAGAGAGGAGACGCCAGAGAACAAAAAATCAGCCTCGTAGCATGGGCGTATTTACTTATTTTATGTATCCTATGTAGAAGAAACTGCCACTCCTGCTTAGGA